AACAACAGCAAAATAAAAAAATAAATAAAATAAAAATAATAAATGGTCATTTAATCATTTGAATAATTTAATAAATAATAAATAAAATAATATTTATATATATATTTTTTTTTCTTATGTGTGTGTTTTATTAAATATAATAATAACAACAACAGTAAAATAATAATAATAATAATAATAATCTGAAGACTGGTATTTTTGTGGAAGCTGTGTTTACCATGGTAAGTATTTGTGTCACTCTGAGCGACAGGGCCTCTGATTCCTCACAATATCCTCAAAACGGCATGTACAGCTTGCATTACATTTAAAATCCATTGGTTTTAATTGCATAGTGCCATTAAATGGAAGCTAACTGTGCGTTCTTTGCTAGCTCTTTGTGTCTGTGTCAGGCTCTGACAGTAATGTGTGGTGTAGCTGATCTGAGAACAGCGCTGACACTGAGCTCAATGTCACTAATATCTGCTGTGACTGTTCCAGGACGCTGGGCTTGTTAGTGAAGAGGCTGGAGATGGGCGGGAAGGCGGAGCGGGAGGCTCTGTTCCAGGAGAACGACTGTATCGTCCGGATTAATAACGCAGACCTGCGCAACATCCGATTCGAACAGTAAGCCCCTCTCTGGAGGAGACGCAGAGACCGTCTTCATGCTTGATCCTTTCAAACTCTGTCCTTTCCACACTTTCATGAGCTTTCAGTTTTCCTCAGAGCTTTGAAAGTCTTGCCATCAGCCTTTCATCTCATCTCTCTCCAACTAAACAAAGCAAAACATCTCTGTTTAAAGTTTACAGAAGCTGTTCGTGGATCAGTTGCAGAAGTAGAGGTTATTGTGAGGTTGATTAAATCTGTCTTGATTTCCTTGAAGGTTCGTGCAGTGTGATGATAATCTATTAAACTTTAGCTTTTATAGCTCAAAACATCCTCCTCAGTTCAAAATGTCTATTTATTGACATTAACTGCAAAAACTTTTTCGAAATGTCTGCCATTATTGAATATATGAACTCATGTCCACCCACAATCAGACATGAACTCTTTCCCACATTGAATTTTCCGGCTTTCCGTGTTTTCACCGTTATGTGATAGGAGGCGCTATTACACATCTTCTGAAAGAGTATTGTATGTCTAGATCAAAACACGGTGAAGAAGAAGGTGAAGCGGTGAAGCGGATGCATATGTAAAATAATGGGATCATCAAACATTAAACAGCATATGAATCAAAACTGACTAAAGTTACCAAATGAAATCTCGTCCTAGGAATTGGTTTAGGACTGAGCAAGCTTTGGCGGTGTTGATGAAAGCGATCGATCATTCTGAATCCCATCCAGAACAATCCCATTTTTCTTTCTTATGACATTTTCTGAGGGCCATGAACATTTTATGAAAATTATCAAAATGCTGGGGTGGCTAGAAAAAAACAAAACAAAAAACACACACTGGTGAGAAAAGAGTTAAAATCACTATCAACCTTAAAAAAAAAATTCTAAAATCTTCTGCGCTAAAAATGTAAGGTATGGGTGTTTTTGATTCTTTGAAGAGAATCGAGAATTGATTCATTTGCGAATCTCTCATGCCCTAGTAAAAAGACAAAGTGCTGTTGAAATAAACTACTAATTTATTAACATTTAATGCATTAAAATAAAGTAACGAGAGCAACGTCACCCAATTTAATGAAATAAAAGTACATTTTTGTCACTAAAAATTAGGGATGCACCGAAATGAAAATTCTTGGCCGAAGCCGAACAAAATGAAACACTGGGCTGAAGGCCGAATACCGAACACGGTTTTTCACATTTATTCCCCCATGTAGGCTTATTTTGCCATTTTTTTTCACCATTGCATAAATTAAATAGCCAAAATGTGCTTTTTAAAAAAGCTCATGGAAAACAGAATATGGTAAAAAAATAAAAATGAATTTGAAAAAAAAGTATTTCATATGGCCTTAAAATTAAATTTTTGTTAAACTCGTAATAAATTGCTGGTAAATTGTGTAAGTTTCATAATTTCAATTAATTAGACATGCTTTTTGATTAATACAATTTAATTTAACCGTTAAAACTGAGTCTAGAAAAATTTAAATGGAAAAAAAAATGGGATCCAGAAAAATAAAAGAAGGGGGGGAAAACCCCCACGGAATTTGGAAAAAATAAAAAATAAAACGGAATTTGGGAAATAATAAAACCGATTTCATAGGGCCCTAAAAACAACTCCAAGAAAGAGAAAAGATGAGAATATTGCTTGTAGGTAGAGTTTCCTTCCTCATTTATCATCAAGAGCTTCCTTTGGCCCAGTCTTGAACGGCTCAGCCTGGTCCAGATGATTGTACATGAATGAGAGCAAACTCTGCTGCAACAGGAGAATGAATGGCTGGGGTTCGCCACAGGGCACAGAAAGGGCACAGCTGCGGGATAATTCATAATCTCATCTAAAACTAATTTACATACATCATTCAGTCTGCTTACACAAACCCAACACCACAAGTTCATTTCCCCAGTGTCCCAGTGCATTATTATGTTTTAATTGCTTGGCTATGTTTTTGCATGAGACCATATATACAGGTATGAGCGAGCTTTCGCCGCTAGTACAAATACACAAACCCAACGGGGTCAAGGATTAAACACCACCTTGTGAATTACATACACATCAGGTCGATAATGTGAGTGTAATACATATTAGATATTAGGGCCTTTTGTTCTTGGTATATATTGGCGTCCCTCAGGGCGTTCGACTTGTCGATTCGGTATGTTATTGATCTGTAAACAAACTCACGGTTTCCATGCTTCCGAAGAGAGTTACGTTTTAATCTGCATCTGCGTTGTCGTCTTTTTCTCGCTCACAGCTGCTGGATTCATACAGACTGATGTTTTCTTTATCTCACTCTCTCTCTCTCCCTCTGTTTCTTGATTGTGCTCCATGTGGAGTTATAATTCATAACGATATTCTAATCTTATTGGATTGTTTGCATGGGTAAATATTTATTAGCGGTTGATCTAACGCAATGTAATGATGCGTTGATGGAGTCATTTATTATTCAGTCAGACAGAGGGAGTCGCGTGATTAGCCGCGTGTCACCGCTTCGCTCTTCTGCTCGTTCGTTTGGAGGCAGGGGGGAGGGGTGGGCTACATTTGCATAAAAATAGATGGGCGTCCCTACAGTGAGGCGCTGTTTGCTCTCTAGATGCAGAGATCGATCTAATGAAGAGTTTATTGAGACGGAAATAACTCACTCTGATGGTTCTTATGTTAAAGGAGTAAACAGCTGCGTACATGAGTGCCAAGCTTGTGTTCCTCTGCTGTTTCGTGGTCTTGCGTTGGGTTTAAGTTTCTGGGTCAAACTATCTATATGCAAAATAGCAGCAGTAACCTTCAGTCCCGATGTTGGTTGTTTATAGGAATAGTTCACCAAAAAAAATGACGATTCTGGCATTGTTTACTCATGTTCATATTGTTTTAAACTCTATTCCATATAATGGAATGTAAATGGTGACTGGAGCTTCCAATCTTCAAAACTGACAAAAAGCATAAAATTGGTGCACCGCATTTTAAGTCATTGCAAGTGCGCTGTGTTTTAAAGTCATAGGATTGCTTTATGTGTGGAACAGACTGAAATTTAAATTATTATTTACTGAAAATCTTCTGCTTTTGCCATAGTTTTCAATCTTGCTTGTATAATTTCTATCATTTCTAGTTTGCTATTTCAAGATGCATCACAATGATGAATAAATTAAATTTTGGTTTGTTCCTCAGACAAAATTCAAAAGTTTGGGGTTTTATTTTATTTTATTTTATTTTATTTTAACAAGGATGGTTAAAAGTGACAGCAAAGTATATGATAGTATATGATGAGTAGTGATGCTGAAAATTCAGCTTTGATCACAGGAATAAATTACATTTGACTATTTATTCTCATAGAGTATAGTTATTTTAAATTGTAAAAAATATTTCAGAATATTACCTATTCAGCTTTGATCACAGGAATAAATTACATTTTACTATTTATTCTCATAGAGTATAGTTATTTTAAATTGTAAAAAATATTTCAGAATATTACCTTTTTTTTTTTTCTTCCTGTAAATAAATTCAGCCTTGGTGAGCAGAAAATACTTAATTTTTGGGCTGGGCTGTCTAAGTTATATACAGCATATGTACTAATTTCACAATATTTTTATGTATTTTTTTGAGTGAATAAGGAATGTAAATAAATAAATAATCAATCAATAATAATAATTTTGGGTGAACTATTCCTTTTAAAAAATCACCTTATTCTATAAATAAAGAGTGTTTGTTTCTAATATACATCAGTTACTTCTAAACCACTCCATCATATACATCATCACTTCATTGATTGATTGATTTAGACTAATCCAGGTTTTTTAGTGTTTTCCGTGTCTTGTAGGTCTGATGGACTGTAGTTTTTGTCCTCCATGTGGCACACTTATGAAAACAGATCCCGCTTCCTGCCTCTAATCCGTTTCACTGCTTCCTCCCCAAGGCTTTGCGATTATGGAAATGGCAGATAATGTGAATTAACCTTGTTTCCAACTGTACTAGTGCAATTAGCCAGCGATTAAGCAAGCCAACCTTTTGACCTCTGCATGTGCCCTGCTTTTAACAACCCCAGTACTTAGGATGAGCCTGTTCAGTAATTGACAACGAGATACATCCTTACTGAGACACGTGTGTGTGTGTGTTTCCCCTCAGGGCCCAGAATTTGTTCAGACAGGCTATGCGTTCTCCACTCATCCTGTTCCATGTGGTTCCAGCGGTGAAGAAAGCTCAATACGAGCTGCTGTCTCAGAAGAAGCTGGGTCTTCAGGCCGCTCCGGGCCCCGGGGACAGGGCCAGTCTGGTGGGAGGAGGTGTGGACTACGGCCCGCGGAGAATGTCCAAAGCCGAATCCACCCTGGGCTATCCTACATTACCACACATAGCAAACCCATCAAACAAGACCCCACCGGGCCCCATCCAGCCCTCCAGACCCACCAGTGCCGCCTCCTCTGTGGGCTACTCTAAAAAGATCGGCCGCAAGTTCAGCGTCCAGCTGAGGAAAGGTACGGTTACACAAGTCTCATCATACTGACTCACAGCGCTTCAAGGACACATGACCTTTCATATGAGTACATTTACCTAGTTAATTGAAATATCCCACAATGTCAGATTTGGTAGAGCGCTGATGGGTCGGACCAGATGTAATGTGTAGACTTTTACAAATCATCATTGTAATTAATATAAATGTGGGAAAATGTGTCTTACCGCTACAGTAGTTGAAAGCAACATTTAATTAAACAAAATATTAGAAAAACAAACAAAGGCCAAGTAAAACATTTGTTTTTTTTCTGAAAAACAAGTATTAATATATATTTTAAAATAAATAAATGTAAATAAATAAATAAATAAAACTTGTGTGCAATTTTGTTTGTCTGGAAAATAAGTTAAATGCATGGTCCAATATTATTTCAGTATTGTTTATGTATTATTACAGTATTCATATTAATATTTTTTATATTTTATACAATTTTATAATAATAATAATAATTATTATTATTATTATTAAGCATTATTTCTGGCATTATATACAGCATTATTTTAATTACTAGTTTTTGTTTACTAGTTTAGATTAGTTTAGATTACTAGTTTAGTTAACAACAACTACAAAAACACTGATATGGCCAATAGAATGTGAACCCACACTCATACATGTGTTGAACTTTTCATTTCAAACCATTGACTTTAATAATGATCAAATTGTAACAATTTTAGAAGCGCACAATTCTCTAGAATGCCATTATATGACATCACATTAAGATCTGTTTTAACTGAAATCACCAAAGTCTTAAATTAGACCCTGATGTCAAATGCTTTTGGCCACTGAATATGCAAGAAATGCACTCATACAGCATGCATGCATTTATTTATTTGTTTGTTTGTTTTCCTCTGAAGTTGCCTGTATTTTCTGCTGTTTTAATAGCTGATGATATCTGTGCGAACGGCGGTGTATCTTTTCTGCTGTAGCGACTAGCATTGTGTAACTAATGCAGTTAGTACTTGAAAGGATTCTATCTGCTATTGTCAGAAAGTGCGGATGCAGCTTCCTCTCAGACTCACGTACGGCTCCAAATCCCATTCGTTCTGCACGGCAGCCGCGTCTCAGCATTTCACACCGCGGGACAACTGGAAATGTCTATCAGAGATACCACAAACAGACACAAACGCATGCATGTTTATGCATAAACCAAGACGTCGGAGGAATATCTATAACCGCGCATGCAGCAGCGCCTCTGATCTCGACTAGCGGCGGCTTTTGAAAGAAAACGCTGGAACGTCAAGCCACGAAACTTTGTGCTTCTCTGATGCTGTTCTCCCTCCCTCTTTGTCACCCTGTCCTGGTTTCAGAGATGGCGTAATCACACGCTCCGGCTTGTTTAAATGAAATAGCAAAAAGAAGTTTCTTTGTCAACGAGCTTGTCACATTGGCATCTATTAGGTTGACGCAGCAGGAGAGCGAGCGGTAAAGACACAGTTAAATCCTGACAACAAATGGGCCGGGCTTCAGCGCGGTGTGTAAAATATGGAGCGGGTTGGGGAGGGCTAGCCTTTAATTGAAAAGACAAGCGCGGGGGAAAGAGGGAGTTTTTAGCTGTCGCATGCTGGAGTGTCTGTTAGGTGTTACTTAAGAGCATGATGTGTGTTTGTGGCCTTTTTGGGCTGTGATATTTCTAGAAGAGAATACAACTGACTGTTGTATACAATACAATCTTAGTTTAGTGAAAAAGAAGTACACTTTGTCATAGTTTTCAAAAACAGTACTTATTAGAGAAATAGTATACTTTAAATGAATATACTTAAGTGTCAACTGAATGTAGTGTTTTCAGACACTTAATTGCATGTTAATGGCAATTAAATGAAAATGTATTATAGTTTATATCTCAATTAAATGGAATAATGGCTTATGTTTTAAGTGTTTTTTGATGCACTTAAATAGTACATGTTTATATGTTATTTCATAATTCTGTTGTCTTTGAAATATGGTTAACGTGCACTGACAAGCATTTATGGTAAACTATACTTTAATGGCATTTCTATACTTGTGTGCCATGTATTTAAATGTATTTGTAATCACACATTTTGTAATGATTAGGTTGAGGTTTAGTACAGTTAAAATATATTTACTTTAAATGTAATAACATAAACTACAGTTAAAATTAAAATCACCTATTTACATGTGCTTTAGTATGTTAGTCAACACATCAAAAACAGTGTACAGCTTTGAAGCACAATAAAAGGATATAAAAAAATATAAAATGTAAAACATTTAATTTCACATTATTACAAAGTGCACTTTTTAAAATTATGCTTAATAGTGGGTTAAGAAACCGTCATGAAAGTGTCTCTCTATTTAAGTCCACTTAAGTGGCCTTTTATTTCATTAATAAGATATTATTCGCAAGATGATGATGATGATGATGGTTATTATTATTATTATTAATATTATTAATAATTATTTCAGTTAGTTGCCAAGGCAACATTTCTAATTTCAAGGGTTTTCATCCAATATTTTGTATTTTATTTATTTATTTATTTATTTATTTATTTGTTTGTTTGTTTGTTTGTTTGTTTGCATGCATCCAGCTAAAATGTAGGTTCAACTATTTAAAAACAGCTGTGATAGCTTCAGTCTCTCAGTCTCGCTTTTCTGTCTGAACTAAATTAATTCAAAATATTGTCACAAACTCTTCTGTAGTTCAAGGGGTTGTGGGTAATATTACCTATGAAAGTATGCATATATATGCAGAGATTAACCAGACACTACACCATCTGAACGTATCTGGCATACTGTTTTCAATGTTCAATGTAAAAAAAACACTTATTCTAATCTTGTTCACTATGTAGGGTGGGTAGTATGTAAATTGGGACACAGCCCTGACTAGCAGGCCTCTCTAGAAAACACTAGCGCATGCAGGAGCCCTGAATCCAAACACTCTTCTCTATCAGTCCATCTTCTGTGATTGGCAGAGATCGAGAGAGAGACAGGGAATGAACAAGCAGCAGATGTTGAGCGCTGCGGTTCTGGCACGCGTGCTGGACTGAGGGAAGAGCGTGTGTTACAGGCTAAATAAGAGCGTGTGTTACAGGCTAAATACAGCAGATCCTTCAGCGTTTACCAGCACACGCTCTGACAAACACTGAAGGCTTGCTCTCTGCCCAGGACGCTCTCTGAGTTTTGGAAATATTGACCCTCGTCGAGCCTGTTCAGTCCGTCAGAGCTCTCTCAGATTGCCTTCAGTTCGTCGGTGCCAGCTGAGAGATTTATTTGCTCTGGGCACTTTACCACCAACAAATAAAAAAACCTTCTAGATGTATGAGAAACAATGTTGTCTTTATATCAAATTCAAGTTTGATTCAGTGACAGGTGCACTGCTGAAATAAAATAATGCATCTAATGCTGTTTAAACTCAAGGTTCATTCTGCTGAAGTGACTCTAGCGCTGAATAGCTCAAACGTTGTGCTTTTATAGGCTTTTTTAAACACATTATTATTATTATTATTAATATTATTAATAATTATTTCAGTTAGTTGCCAAGGCAACATTTCTAATTTCAAGGGTTTTCATCCAATATTTTGTATTTTATTTATTTATTTATTTATTTGTTTGTTTGTTTGTTTGTTTGTTTGCATGCATCCAGCTAAAATGTAGGTTCAACTATTTAAAAACAGCTGTGATAGCTTCAGTCTCTCAGTCTTTGTCGCTTTTCTGAACTAAATTAATTCAAAATATTGTCACAAACTCTTCTGTAGTTCAAGGGGTTGTGGGTAATATTACCTATGAAAGTATGCATATATATGCAGAGATTAACCAGACACTACACCATCTGAACGTATCTGGCATACTGTTTTCAATGTTCAATGTAAAAAAAACACTTATTCTAATCTTGTTCACTATGTAGGGTGGGTAGTATGTAAATTGGGACACAGCCCTGACTAGCAGGCCTCTCTAGAAAACACTAGCGCATGCAGGAGCCCTGAATCCAAACACTCTTCTCTATCAGTCCATCTTCTGTGATTGGCAGAGATCGAGAGAGAGACAGGGAATGAACAAGCAGCAGATGTTGAGCGCTGCGGTTCTGGCACGCGTGCTGGACTGAGGGAAGAGCGTGTGTTACAGGCTAAATAAGAGCGTGTGTTACAGGCTAAATACAGCAGATCCTTCAGCGTTTACCAGCACACGCTCTGACAAACACTGAAGGCTTGCTCTCTGCCCAGGACGCTCTCTGAGTTTTGGAAATATTGACCCTCGTCGAGCCTGTTCAGTCCGTCAGAGCTCTCTCAGATTGCCTTCAGTTCGTCGGTGCCAGCTGAGAGATTTATTTGCTCTGGGCACTTTACCACCAACAAATAAAAAAACCTTCTAGATGTATGAGAAACAATGTTGTCTTTATATCAAATTCAAGTTTGATTCAGTGACAGGTGCACTGCTGAAATAAAATAATGCATCTAATGCTGTTTAAACTCAAGGTTCATTCTGCTGAAGTGACTCTAGCGCTGAATAGCTCAAACGTTGTGCTTTTATAGGCTTTTTTAAACACATCAGTCAAAATGTAATGTAAAAAAAAAATGTCATTTTATGCCTCCTACGCTTTTTTGGGGGGAGTTCTATCCCCTGCTTTTTCCAATTCTTTTCTCACTGAATTTAAATGGGTCTTTAAATTTAATTTGAATTTAAATCTATCTATCTATCTATCTATCTATCGTTCTATCTATCTATCATCTATCTATCTATCTATCTATCTGTCTTTATTTATTTATTTATATTGGTTGGTTGGTTGGTTGGTCAAAAGGGATGATCTTAACCTTTTTTCTCAGGGGAAAAAAGTACTTTTATCCTGTTTTTACAATGTTCAGATATTTTAATAGAACATAAGACAAATATGATTTATTTCTCCACCATGTGGATGTAGGGCTTTCTGTTCTCCCACTGGAGCTTCACTCATTTAAAGAGTCTTCCTCATTCTTCCATTAGTCCATTTATCTTTTTTTTTGGTTATGATAGTCTTAAAATAGTATTTTAGGAGGTCTAAGACCACACTGTCCTTTCTCATTTGTCTTGTTCTCCCTCTTTCTCTCTCAACCCCTGATAAATTAATGGATTTCAGAGAACATTTTCCTAATTTCTTCCTCAAGCTGTAATTTTCTGTAGGCCTACTGCCTTACATTTTTTTTTTTTTTAGCTTTAAGACTTTGGCACAGTTAAAAATACAATATTTTTATTATCATTCTCTCACATAATCCAAAAAAAAGAAGAAGGGAAAAAATCTGAGTAGAGACCGTGCCACATCCGTGATTAATTAGTGCAGGGCTATTAGTGCTCCATCACTGTAATTACTTGATTGTAAGCAGTTAACAACTGAATGTCCTAAAGGCTGAAAGTTTGATTGTAGTAATTTTCCCTAATGGAGGCATCAGGTGGGGTTTTGGTTATTGACCCTGGCTTCACTTCTTGGAACATTTATCCCAGCACCATAACAAACATAAAGCATTGAGAGAACAGCACAGCCACTGACCCCAGACCAGTGCTGCGGCAGGCTTGTGTTTGGAACATGAGAGCTTGAACTTTCAATACAAGTTCAGCTCAATTAAATGCATTTGTGGCGTAATATTCATTATCACCAAAAAAAAAATAAATTCTTTATAAACTACAAAAATAATATATACACATACAATGAAAGTACAGTTTTGGAGTAGCAGAAATATATGCAGCTTATAGTTATTAAAAGTTTCTGTGAAAGTTAAGTTGTAGTAGTTTGGGGTTTATGACATGATGATGCCATAGCAAAAAAAGTTGTAAAATAGAATATAACAACACAGAAAATGTTAATAAACATTTTTTACACTAAAATCACGCATATTGTTTACGTCTTGTAGCTGCACTGTTGAAACTGTATTTCAACATTTACAAATTGGAAATAGTATTTTAATGATTAAAAATGGCACACACAAAGGAAGTGAATGAAGCCAATTTATGGAGCTGCAGAAATATGAAGCTAATAAATTTATAAAATGACTTGCGTTAATTCTTCTGTTAAACTTGTTTATTATTTAAGTTGTAAAGTTGATTAAATTATATATTTCTCAGTAATTTAGGGTTTATGGCAGAATGATGCCAAGACAATTTTTTATTATTATTTTCAAAACTAAAATCATACTAACACACATATTGTTTATGTATTGTAGCTGTATTATTGAAACAGTATTTTAATGTTTACAAAAACTCTTACATTAATTCTTCTGTTAAATGTGTACAGTTGTTTAAATCATAATTTTTAGTCTTAGAATTACTGACATGTCATAGAAAAAAAGGTGGAAAATTGGATATGACTTAGAAATGAACAAATAAATGGTTAATACGTTTTTTTTTCAACCACTGAAGTCACACTAATGTGCATATTGCTTTCATCTTGTGGCTGTAATACTGAAACAGCATTTTAATATTTACAAATTAGCCCCATTCTCTTCTCTTGTAAAGGTGTGGTTACTTTATCCAAATTTTGTTGAAATTTCATGGGCAAAAAATGTCCATTGTCTAGTGTTGTTAGTGTATCTCATGCATGAAGACAAGTCACAGAAATCACTTTTAAACCAAGCAGCTTTCTGTCAACATGACTAACTTAAACCTGTTGCAAAGTTTTCACCCTCACGTGAAGCTCCAGATTGCACTGATTTCTATTGAAATGAATGGATTTTGCCTGTGAAAATTAAAAAAATCTTAAGTCCCTTTTTTTTTAACTCTCTTTTTTTAACCAAAAAGAGGCACAAGCTGAACTAAATTTGTGTTGTCATGCCACAAGTGTTGTTTTATTGAGCATAACTTGCTTTGATGCTGGAATATTGCGTTTAACCTCTTGAAAAATTCCCTTTTCCGGCACAACCCATGAACACGACATATCCCAGATATGATATAAACGAACGCAGACAGTCCTGAAGGCTACAAATGTATCTCCAGATAAAAATATGTGTCCGGCCTATCAGTCTCTCTATCTCCCCCACTGCCTTTTCTTTTACCATTACAGCCGTTGTTGGGATGATAAGGTCAACCTTACTGATCCCTCTGTGTCCCGGCCATTACTCTTTCTCTGCACTTCTCCTGCATCTGCATCTGCCTATTCGTATTCATTTGGCACTCCCAAAAAGGTCATTTTGTGGACAGGGAGCAAATTGCTGCACATACCCCGCGTCTGAGGCCCTAACTACATTTTCCAGGATTTACTAACGTCTGTGGCGAGCTGTAAAGCTCAATTTGCCTGATGCATGTGCACATCAAGACCCTTCAAAGCTGGGTTTGAAGGGAGTTGGCCTGCTTCTGAATGAGGAAAAGCAAATGTCTACAGCGTGCGTTGTGGAGGAGCTGGCGTGACGACCCGAGCATGTCATGTTTGGGCCCGCTAGATTTGTAAAGCGGGTGCCGCTGAAACGCACGGGGCTAAATCTGAAGTCACGCTGCGGTTGTGCCGTGCACACAGATGTGTTTGAAACGTTTAATTAGGGTGGCCGGTGCTGCCATATGCTTGGGCTTTGCCTGTGTAATTTGTATTTGTGCACACAGGCGGTCATGGAACACTGTTTTTTTTTCCCTCTGTAACCTTAAAAGACATAAAAATATCCATCTGATGGATTTCAGATTAGTTATTAGATACAGTAGACTTGAGCAGGACTGTAATTTTTCTACTGTAATTATATGCAATCCGTGTCAAATATAGAATTCATAAAACGTTTGCAACACTTTAGCTGTTTTTCAAAGAAATTAATACTTTCATTCAGCAAGGAAATTGATCAAAAGTGACAGTAAAGGCATTTAAAATATTACAAAAGATATCTGTTTTAAACAAATGCTGTTCTTTCAAACTTTTTATTCATCAAAGAATTCTAAAAAAATAAATAAATAAAATGCATCACAATTTCCACAAAAATATTCAGCAGCACAACTGTTTTCAACATTGCTAATAATCAGAAATGTTTCTTGAGCAGCAAATCAGCATATTAGAATGATTTCTGAAGATCATGTGACACTGAAGACTGGAGTAATGATGCTGAAAATTCAACACTGCATCACAGAAATAAATTACATTTTACAATGCATTCACATAGAAAACAACTGTTTGAAACTGTAATAATATTTAGCATTTTTAATTAATAAAAATGCAGCCTTGGTGATCAGACTTCTTTCAAAAAACAAAACAAAACAAAATAAAACTCAATTTTTTTCTGAGCATATAAGAGTTTTAAGATAAAGAAAAATTTAAATCCTATAAAAATCTAGTTTAAAACCCTTAAGTTATTAGTAGGGATGCACGATATGCCGATAATTTTCAACTCATTTTAGCCCATAGCCAATGCATAAACCGATATATGATTGTTTAATTTTGGTTAGTTTTTAACAAGGACTTATTTGTTAGAATTAAATAAACAATAATAAAGTTATTGACAGTAATATATAATAATATATACATATATACTACATGCTTTTATAATGACAGTACATTGAATATTTGAAAATAACTATAAATAAACTATATATTAATCACTGCATTTTTTTT